CCACAAGAATGTGAAGGAACTGCCTCACTAAACCAAGAGTCCATGTCCTCTCAAAGGCTTAATTTTCCAAGCTACACACTTTGTAGGTACATGAGCCCCTAGAGTCCATGTACCTGCGCTGTTGTCAAAGTATGTGTTGTGTAGGCACATGAACCCGTAGAGTTACTGGCATTTTGTCAAACAAGTATATGCCTTGTAGGTTCATGAACCCTTAGAGCAGTGCATCAGAGTGCCGGCATCGTTCATGCTTCCTGAAGCAGGCGGGAGAAGGCCATGAGCGAATCCTGGCGGAGCCGTTTAGGGCTTTGGGGTAGTAGGGGCCCTAAACCCTAAACCCCTAAACCCTAAACCCTAAACCCTGTTTAGGGGCAAGGGCTTTTGGGGTTTAGGGTTTTGGGGCTTTAGGTGCCGGTTCGGGAGGAGCCATGTGCGTACTATAGACATTATTTTGGTGGTTCCTTATTATGGTTGTAGTACACTGGGCCCCAAAACCCTATTCTAATTATTAAGGCCCGTATACTAAACCCCCACAATACCCCTTATTGTAATCCATATAGATCCCTTTAAAAGGAACCCTTATAGTAATCCTTATAGATTCTTCAGGCCATGGGAAGTCTGAACTTTGCAGCTATAGTCCAGGTCTCAGGTTTTTGCGACTCCTAACTTCTTCAGCTGCTGATGTAGTATATGGGTGGTTGTCAAAATTATGGTCCCTTTTGGGGTACGCCTAAATATTAGGTGCCGTATTACAATAAGGACCCAAAAAGGGACCCTAATTTTGACAACTACCTATATGAAAGACGATGTTGTACAGTAGATTTTCTAGTATCTAGTATGTAGTGGAGTACAAGTATGTCACTAGAATATATACATATACATATACATATATATATATATATATCATAGTATATACTTCCTAAGCTCCGGTTTGCACAGGTTCTTAACGTCTCGCACATAAGACCACAGTATTTGGCAATTAGTCGTGTTACTATTGTTCTCATATGACTATGATTATAATGATTATGAATATGAGCATTCTTGTTGTGTTAACGTTATACTATTTGCATGCTTACATACAATCCTTCTTGTGGTTTTCGGTGTTGCTGTGATTGGTAATATTTCTATATTTTGTTACATTTTGTTTTATGATTATTTCTACTACTACTCTTCTTGAGACTACTATGCCTACACTACATGAATACTATCCTGACTACTATCCCCGCGTGAAGCTTGACCCAGGAATCGATGCCCAATCTGCCATTGGTCGATGAGTCACCAGGCCGTTACCGGGTTTGGACAGGGTTTCGTCAGGGTCTGAACGTGTAGTTGTTGTACAACATTCCCGTATCGTTTCCACACGACGTTACCACAAACTCTACATCTAAGCCCTAAACCCGAAGCCTTATATACTCCAAAGCCGTATTCCAGTTGTGGATTCTCTTCACTCGTAGGAGAGCTTTAGCTACAGCTGCCGGAACATGACATCTCCGAAAGCTAGTTTCCTGCGTACCTTCTGACAGGATTAGAGTGGCCCCTGCATAATGTATGTACATCTGTTGACAGTAGTAGTCTGTGTTACTGGTAGTAAAGATTCCGAAGCGATGACAGAGGCACACTTCCTCGATGCCGGGTTCTGGCACTTTACCACAAGTTCGATTTCGTTAATGTAGCGGCCTGAACAACTAGTAACTAGTAGGTTAGTAGCCATGTCCCCTTGTAGACCTTACATAATTACATGATGTGATACCTTGAATCCGAACTATTCTGTCTTGTGGCGTTCCGGAGTTCCGGTAGTAGTGCAACTCTGCACCCTCAGATCCTGAATCACATGCTGCGTGGAGGCTCGCGTGATTGAGAAAGTTTAGTATACTTCGCAGCTCTCAAAGTAATCCCCACAGACCACCATGACAAACGCTGCTTATACTGGCGGGCCATAGAGGTAAACGCCCTAACCTAAACCCTAAACTTGAGAAGTCCTTATAGCCTTAAATCAGCCGTGGAACTCTCCCCCCTCCAGCCCCATACCGAAACCTAAACCCTGGCCGTCCCTGCTCCCAGAATACGATGTGCCGCCGGATCAAGGCGGTCAGTGAGGAGGCCGCTCTAGATTGCGGGGTTCTTCTCTGGGACCTTCAGTTTGGGTAGTTGGCAAAACAGAGGTCATCATCCAAAGAGGGTCGGGCAATTACGGGTTAAAGAATCAGACTGCCCTATGAGGGCCACGAATTCAGAGGAGGTCCCAGATGCTCGTGCTCATGTCTGAAGCCAGCAGATTGCCGAAATGAGCACCGTAGGGGCCTGAGTAGCTTGAAGATCTTGTTCCTGAAACCTACCTAAACCTCCCCGACCCGAAACTCTTGAACCCTAATTAAACCCCTAAATGATCACCCCTCTAAGTGCCTTCAAGCTTCGACCCAAGTACCTGAGGTGGCGAAAGCCAGGCACCACTGCTTGGATTAAACCGTACCAAAACACTGAACCCTCATCCCTAAACCCCTAGACCCCTAAACCGCCTAAACCCCCAACCCCTAAACAAAACTGTAAGCCCTAAACCTTAAACCCTAAACCCTAAACCCTCAACCTGTCGACCTTAACTGCTAGACGGAAAAAGGTGCTCAAAAAAAACTCAACCCTAAACAAAACTGTAAGCCCTAAACCCTCACGAAGTTCCCCCCAGCGCATAGCAGAGTCCCTGGGTCCGGGGAGTGGCAGAAAGCTCGGCCGAGCGAGTTTAGGGTTCTTGAGTTTCGAGTTCATTTCTGTAGGGTTTGGGGTTTAGGGTATAGGGTTTAGGGTTTCGGGTTCATTTCTGTAGGGTTTGGGGGTTTATGTTTGGGGTTTAGGGTTTAGGGTTTAGGGCTAGGGTTTGGGATTTATGGGGGCTTTGGGCTTTGGGTTAGGGCGTCTTGATTGCTTTTTTTTGGTCGGACGTCGGGTTTTGAATTTCGGGTTGAATGCTTACGGTTTAGGATAAAAAGGTCGAACCCAGACATGGCAGGAACCACTGCGGTGTGAAAGACATGGGAGTTTCCGAAAATTAGGGGTACCTTCTCTTTATATTAGGGTCCCCTATTTTCGGAAACTCCCACATGTCTCCCAATCCATCATACCGGCTATTTGCACCACTGTTGTCAGCGGGAAATAGGCAGGTTGAGTTTAGAGGTCATGTCCCCTAGATCTATACAACCCTTGAAACCTAAGCAGGGCCTTCTTGTCACTCTGGAGTTTGCGATCCCGAAGCCCGAAAACATGTCTGCACAAGACTTCATTGCTGGCCTCCGCACGCGAGATTCGAAAGCGAACTCGATCACTGTACGTCTCACCTAGCAGCGCCTGGACACCAAGAGCTCCTTCAGTGTCCACGTAATATAGAAGCCTACATAGTTAGAATATGGGGTTCCTTTAAAGGGTTCTATACATGGGCTACTCTAAGGGATCTATAAGGGTACTATGATATAGGGGCCTCAGTAGTTTCCTCTGGGGCTCCTGATTAACATACCCCGAAACCCTGCTCTAATTGTTCAGTGCTCTGTTCGAATTATTGTGGAAGATCAGCTTGTGGGAGGTACAGGTTTGCGGCTGACAGTATTGTCGCCGATCATAGTTGTTTATAGACATGGCTGTGAATCCACTTCCGTTATCTGTCAGTGATGACAGTTCATTGTGCTAGGGGGTTGTGCAACCGCCAATTTTGTGAGTTTCGTTTGAAGGGGACGCTAAACCCTACACTCCTAACCCTGAGCAATGTAATCCCCCTGTTACCTTCTCCACTCAGCCTTTGCTACCATCTTCATCCAGCCTTGAGAGATGGCACTGGATCCACATAATTCAGAAGACTGTGGACTTGGAGCGGCTTGAAATACGCTGTCATGAGGAATACCGTCACTATTGCCTAACCATTCAGGTTCCCCACATTGGTTAACACCCTCGTCCCGAACCTGAAACCTCACACCTGCAACATCTGTAGTGTAGCCTTTAGGGCCTTTAGGGGTAATCGAGGCCAGATTGCGACGGCTATCCTCCCCAATAAGAGGGCGCATGTTGTAGTCCTGCTCCGAAGCCTTTCCGCCAAATCGCTTAGTACCTAATACATACGTTTTTAAGAAAATTGTAGTTCGAATGTTGACTTTGAGCTCGCAGCATCCGACGTATCTAGAAATTCCCTTTTTTCATCCAGCCCCTAAGCCCTAAACCGGCAGAATCTGTCCAGAAGCCCTAATTCCTGACCCTAGCCCCCGAAAGGAACCCAAGTCTTGACCGTCTCGTCTCCTATGCGGGAGCCAAAAACGCCCAGGCCGTTTCACGTGCGCAGCTTGGCGCTCACCAGTAGGGCAACATGGTACTGCACACAACGCTGCAGATTGCGGACCCCAAACTCCAAGTATTGCTGGTCTTACTTCTGGTATGATTTGAGCAAAAGCATTTTCTGTTTGAGTAATTTTGCCAGACCCTCAAGCCTCATCAGTGCTGGAGCCAACCCACCTCCTGAAGTCCGATTTTAGCCCGGGCGCCCCCGTTTTTGCGAAGCAACGCGCGCTGTGCCCGCGAGCTGAGGGTGCAAAAGAAGAGCACACGTGCCAAACGACTTGGGTTCGAGCATTGCATGGCTAGCAGCAACCCTATTCCTCTTCACATTCCCTTGTGACCATGGCATCCCTTCCCTTTCCCAGCCTTTTGCTGAATTCGCAACAATACGCGAGGCTGAGTGCTTAAAGTCAGTTGTTGAGAGTATTCTAGTGTAAATGCGGGGCTGCCATCAGCTTCATGCCGTCAAGAGCCAACCATACCCTTAACCTCCACATCCCAAACCGACACCCCTGGACGCAAGCCCCAAGCTGGAGCTGAAGCCTCAAACCCTCATCCTAAGCCTGGTCATCCCTAACTCTTTCTTGCCGAAACTGTCATCCCAAACTCTTCAACCTGAAACTCTGAGCCGGCAGCTGACCTTCGATCACAGCTTTGGCGAAGCCTTCCTGCACCTAAGCTCACATGCCACTGAGGTGAAGACAAGAAGAAGGCGACAAAGAAAAAGAAGGACGGAGCTTTAAGGTAATAAATATCCTACAGCCTGGACAGCGAGCACTAACTCTCAATCGTTGAGACGTTCGCTGTACTTGTGAGGGAAGGGAGCTTTAAGCCAACACACGAATCCAGCCCATGCCGTTAAACCTTATAAGCCCTAAGCCCTAAAGTATATCTTGAAATCCAGAGCATGGGTGGCGAAGCAAATCAGACATCTGAGCCTCGGAGCACGCGGGGAAGATCTACGACACAGGGCTTTGACTGTGACTCAGGGCTCCCAAGAGGCCACTGTCCGAAACCCAGTAGTACTCTTATTCCTTTTTTGTAGTCCTAGATTCCTATAAAGTTGCCCAGTACCAGAAAGGGAGGCGTTTTTATTCCTAGGTTACTGGGCATCCTGGGAAACCTATGCCCGAAAGCCTCAGTTGTGGAATGCAAAGGTACTGCGGATGGAGACAGCCCCGGGATTGCCTGCTTAGGTTGAAGAGTTCTATAGGTTTAAGGTTCAGTGTTTCATCACCTAGAGCACTGGAGTTCTGCCTCTTCCTGAATGTTGAGAATGCAGTCTACCTCTCTCCTGGAAGCTTGAGCTAAGTAGAAACTAAATTCCCAGGGTCTTCATGCTTTAGGGTGCGTGGTGTATTTATGGTCGAATGTTCATGGTTCAGGGGTTGCAGGGTGTAGTTTCCCGCATGTGTAGGGTATAGGGTTTAGGGTTGGAGTGTCTGCAGGCTGCAAAGGAAGCACAAGATTTCTCTGACATGGAGTCAGGCCATGCTCTGGGGAAGAAGTGTCCAGATCATGACTGAAGCGTTTCAAACAGAATCCCAACATCCCTTTATGTCAGTACGGCAAAAGCAGACCCATAAGGTCCGCTATGGTTTTTGGAGGAAGGAGTGCCGGTGGCGTAGGAGGAGGTAGACAAGTTTTCAGAAAGTCAGAGGCGGATCCATGCGTTCCAGCCCTCACGAAGCCCTTCGAAGCCAAGTGAAGGAAATGTAGGGCCCGGAATGCCTACAAGAAGTATCCTGGGAGCTTAGGGCTCTGCGCTTTGGTAGACCATGTCCTCTGGGAGTTCTGGGTTCGATTTTCGGAATTCGGAAGCTTGAGATGTCCTGTGTAGCCATCGCACCTCTTTTCTTCGACTTTTGCGTAGGATCCCCTTGGGTTCTTAGATTTATCGAGCAAGAAATTGCGATCCTACCGTATACCCCTCATGGCCTGTTAAGCCTGGCTTCGGGGCCATTTTCACAGGCTAGGCACAGAACACCTGAATTCGCGGCTTTGCCATGATTCGACTCTTCCCCCCGCAGCCCGTGACCCGAAGCCCAAATACTCATGATGTATGGTCGTTTTGGATGGGCAGGCTGTGCGATCTGCATTCAAAAAAAACCTTGATACAACTCAGTATTGCCACTGGCGCCTAAAAACGTAACACTGTGAAGCCGTACCGTAGAAGACCTAAGCAGCAAGTCTGCCTGCCACAGATGAGCCAAAGCCCAAGGGCAAGAAGAAGAAGGCCCGGTAAAGCATCCGTGGATCTCTCTCTAACTCCTGATCATGTCAGTGTCAGAAAGCTGGGTAGGCATTTCGGAGATTTTACCTTTCCCTTAATGGGCCAGAGAGCATCTGATTTACTGATGTTTTTGAAAGGCGTTAAAGGGCCAACCTAGGAAATGCAGGAATCGGAACAGAGAGCCGAAAGCATGGGATGCTGAGTGCAAGGATCTTGAAAACGATGGTCCGAAATTAGGATACTCACAGCCTGAACCTTGAGTACTTACATTTCAGATTCAGACAACGTGCTCTTAAAGCTTTCTGAGTTGTGCATCTTATGGCCGTTGAGGTGCTCTTGTTCAGCTGCGGCTTCTGGCACTTAAGCAGAGTATAACTAACGAATGGGCAAGGTTCTGCATGCAAATCGGATGACAGGTTAAGCTTTGCGCTGAGGGCTTGAGAGTTTAGGGCTTAGGTGTTTAATCTAGGGTTCTGGGTATTCACCTTTAAATACTATACGCTTTAGGGTTTAAACTATGAGTTTGGGTTTTCATCTTCGGACATTGGATTAATTTGCTCCTGCTTGCCTGGGCGCCTTGGGAGCAGTTTCGGTTGCTGCTGGAGCCTGGCAAGTCTGTTTCTGCGCGATTTGGTGTTTAATGGGTGTTAGGGTTTAGGGTTTAGGAGTCAATGGGGACTAGGGTTTAGGGTTTAGCTTGAAATCCTGAGCACCCTTACTGGCGTTGACTTATGTGGAGCTTGTTTACCTACCTATGTCCATGCATCCTAAATGTACTTTGCGGATCAAAGCCCAGCGTGAGAAGGGCTACCATCAACAGTGAAGCAAATACTAATTGCTATAGATGTCAGGTATGCTTGCTTGACTTACTCCTAGAACCCTAAGCCCCACGCCCTTCACCCTACAGCCCTAAATCCTAAGCTCTATAAAGCCCTACACCTCCGCCTGGAGTGTGAGGCGGAGCGAGACCGCACACCACCGCAAGATTTCTCAGACATGGACTCAGAGGCTGGCATATAGTGGTTTAAATATACGGGCCGAGATTCCTTTCAATTTTTTGAGGGGGGGGTCCTGATTTTTGCTATAAGCCCTTATACTAGGGTTTAGGGAAGAGTCGTGCTTCAGAGCTTACAGGCTGAGGGGACCTTCTCTTCACATCTTCAGAAGTCGTGTTCTTTCTTCCACCGAATCTGTTAAGGTTGAGGGTTTTAGGGTATCTTTGTTACAGAATGTGAAAACCCAAAGCTGCTAGCGAGCACGATTTTTTACTTGCGGCATCATGCAGGGTGTAGGGTTGCAGGGCTTCGCGTTTAGGATTCTTGGCACAGGATCTTTCAAGACTCTATACAGGGTTTAGGAGTTTTTGAGTGAGGATGTACGATTCTACGCGTGGGTTTAGGAAAGTTTAGGATGGTTGCGGCTGGGCCGTTTAGGGTTTACCATAAACTGCCATAGCCTACTTTTGAAGGTTCTCGTTATGAACCTGAAAAGGAATTACCATTTTTTCGGACCCCACACGAAAGCAGATTTTGGTAGTTCAAGGTAGGGCTTATGGCTTAGTTATGGCGTTCATGGCTTAGGGGGTGTGCTCGGGTCAGGTGTTGAGGTCTCCTGGGTCTGAGAGCTGGTTTGGGGTATTGAAAGAATCATGGGGAAGGTGGGCGAGATGATTAGCATGGGTTCTGGAAGAAGTAGCTACTGGTATAGATATACTGTTTTGTTGTGCTTACTTTGACACCGGTTCGAAGTGCCCATAGCCTGACCTACTTGCTTCCTTACTTACTTGCTTACTTCGTCCCCCCATCTCTGAACTGGGGAGGCGTGGGCGAGTGGATGTTTTTCGGGGTTTTACTAGTGCCATCCCCATGAAGCCCTATGGAACCCTGTAGAATTACGGAAGTCGCTTCATCCCGACAACTAAACAAGAAACCTGAAGCCTCTTAGACTCACGAAAGGTTTACGGGCTTGCCGTGACTCAGGGTTCACAAAGATTTGGTAGTTTTCGGTCTTGAGGTTTAAGGTTCAGGTTGTAGGATTTCGGCTTTATGGTTTGAGGTTTGGGCTCTACAATGACTTTGGGATCCCAAAACCCTGTAAACGGCAACCCTTGCCAATCCGATCCCAAACGCAAGGTCTCGAAAGACCCTGACTCTAAGCCTGAGACTCAAACGCCTTATATCAAGCCGAACTCATAGTGTATTGAAGTCCTAAGCCTTGATTAGATCAAAGGGGAAAAGGAGGGACTCTTAATGGGGACCCCTACCCTATAATGGGCTATATAATGGGTATATAATAGCTATATTAAGGGTATATACCTAGGGGTCCTTATTAAGGGTCCCTCCTTTTACCCTTGGATTAGAGCCTAGGCCCCAGCATAATGACCCAGAAGCCTTGTTCTAGTTGTCTACTTAAAGGATCATGGGACTTAGTAACTAGGGTTATAATTAAGGTAACTGTACTTATAACTACTTATAACCCCAATTAAGGTACTTATAACCCTTCTTACTAAGTCCCATGATCCTCCAAGTAGGCCCCCTCACCAAGCCCCGAACCTTAAGCCTGGCCTGCGGAGGAGTTTCAGAGCAGGACGAAGAAGGGCAAGAAGGGCAAGGCCGTCTTCAGGATAGAAGTGGGGTTACTAAGTGGTACTATGATTATAAGGTTTTACTAACATATCGGGGTATTATATGGGTTAGGGGTTGCTTTAAGGGGTGCAAAACATAAGGGTTACTATTTTGCGAGATTTTACAGGGTTTGGCGTGTAGGCTTTTTGTGGTCTTATGAGGATTCTTGCTAGCTGAACTTCGATTCGTGTAGGTTGCTGTGAACTGCATATACTCTGTTCATTCCACTCAGCGGCAAGAACCCAGAATGGGAGCTTTTTCACAATGAGGATTCCTGTATGGTTCTTAGCAGTCTTAGAATACGGGTGGTTTATTCACCTGGAAAACAGAAGAGGATATCTTCTCCAAAGAACTTACCATGCGAAAACCACCTGAGTCTTTTCCGATCTGAAATCTACACTTCTTGTTTCTATACACTCCACGATGCATAGTAAGATCCTGTGAAGTAGGAGTGGCTTTGGATGTAACGTCCAGGCTCCGCCCCCTTCCGGCGATTCGTCAGGCACGTTTTGCGGCTCTCGTGGGCGATCGATTGTCTTTGAGGTTGTGCAAGGGGATGGGCATCTCAAACACGGCAGTAACGAGGTCAGCATATTCAACAATGAAATCTCCTCAAAGTCCTTGCAGAAATTCAACAGAATATAACAGACAGCCGAGCCTCCTTGGAAGTGCGGCGTTCGGGGCAAGCACCCTAAGCGCCTGAGAACTTCGAACAGCAGGGATTCGGAATATGGGATCTGGAGTTAGCCCCTAACCCTACACCTAAACCCCCAACCCTGTCCCTATAAATACCACAGGGGTGGGTTGGGTCCCCTAGATCTTGGGGCTTGTAGGATGCATGGGCGGTTGAAGTTGAAGATCTGAAGGGTATGCTTCGGTTCTCAAGATGTTTTTTGCTTTTGGGCGCGATGTGTAAGGGCTCCTGCACATAGATACCAGTTGCGATTTGAGGAGCGCTTGACTGCCTGGTAACAGGGCCTGGTAGTATTTTCGACAGATGGGCTTTACCTCGTCCAAAGCCCGAAAAAGCCTTTAGCCACTGCAGCCCTAAGCTCTGGACCCTCGCACCCTTGAGCCCGAACCCGGGCCTTTGGAGTGCGAGATATCCATAAAATCGGCTCTGGACCAAAATCTACCACAGATCCTGGCCAATATTCAGAGACCCAAGTCCCCTTCTTCGGGTTCAGGGCTTAGGGTGAGTCCACTCTTTAGTACTGGTAGACAGTTGAGCAGCTCTTGAGCCCTGCAATCATCCTTATTCTCGTGACTACTAGTATGAATTTGTATTAGTTGTTGTTAATATGTTTGTATTATTCTACTGCTTTATACATAAACGATTTTCTAACTATAAGCCGGTGGCAGGTAGCGGCAAGAGGAAGAAGGCCCTTCACGCACGTTCCGAAGGGTTTGGGATATGGAGGGCTTATAGGGTCTAAGATTTCTGATGCTTTTTCAGGACTCTCTGGGGGTTCTACGAGTGGAGGGATCAGGGTTGATGGATGTTTGGCTTCGGTTGACGGGATGTTGAAGCTTGGCGGCTGAAGCTCCCTAGCTAATGAGAGGACTCTGTATGTTGTATCATATGATACTTCGGATATGATATTTCGTGTGAGAATGTGTAAATATAACATATGTTTGAAGCATCTCCGGGTCTAGGATGGCTAGGCTTCGGTTTCAGGCGGTTTCGCATGTAGGGTTGATGGCTTAGGGTTTGAGGTTTTCGGTTTGGTAGGCGCCGTTTCATTTTGTTAGGTTCGAAGGCTACTTTGTTCCTTGACGTGTAGAGGACAGAAGCCTGCGTCGTTCGACTTAGGACTTTTGTTTTTTCAGCATCGCCACGCCGGACTTTCTTCCACATGCAGCTGCAAATAACTGCGAGACCCCTTATAAATAGAATAAATATCGGGACACCCAAGAAGCGACCCCGGTGTAGCAATTTTCCGGAGCTCCCGACAGTTTCTACGAGATCCTGAGCCGACAGACACCCAGAGGGCATTAGGGTTCAGGGTTTAGGGTTTAGGGCATCGTACCGGCCACTGTTAAGCCGAATGTACCTCGGCTACGGGCCCAGACACGCCAGCCCTGACCCTTAAACCCAGTCGGTCAAAGCAACTACACCTCAGATGTGCAGAAGGTATTAGATCCTTCACTCCGCAAGTCTATGTACCAAGCAAAGCCGCAGTCCGAAACCGTTGGTCGTGAATCCCTGGGAGCTGGTAGGTTCGACGTAAGAAGTCGGATGCATCGGAGGAGGATCGAGGCTCCGTTCTTTTTTGAGCTTCGGATTTTTTGGAGCTCGAGTTTAGGATGCCGGGTTTAGGGCATAGAGTTCAGGCCTTCGATGGCCTTCGGGTCTACGATCGAAGGGTGTAGGGAGCAGGTGTTGGGTTACGGGTTTCCGGCACCCTGTTGAGGTTTACCTATAGTCTCCATTGCAGTTCCTTTTTTTGGTTAACCAAAATCTCTATTATTGGGTCCTAACCGGAAAACTGGTTAACCAGAAAAAGGAACTACAATGGAGACTATAGGTATTTTAGAGACTTAGAACCCCTATTTAGGGTCCCTATACCCTAAACCCTAAGCCTAAACCCCAATGGAGACTGTAGGTAGGGTGCAAAAGCCAGCCCTTGGCTTGTTGGAATCGTCACGCTGTTCTCGGGAGGCCCCGGTCGCAAGGAAAAATGCGGCTCCCTTCTTTGCTTCGCCAGTACATAGAAGCCCTATAAGCCCTACAGATCCTTCTCTAAAGCCTGCAGAAAGGCTCCACCAGGTGCTTGCGCAAGCTTGTCTTCAGCGGCTTGCATTGTCACACAGGATTTGACTGGGAGGTTTCCCGAGGTTTCAGGGTTTAAGGCTTAAGGTTCATGGCACAAGTTAGTTAGACCACTGCGCATAAGCAAGGTCAGAAGCAACAACCCTAATACCCTAAAGCCCCAAACCCTTGTTAGCAGGGTTCCCAAGAGCCAAGCGCGGCCCTGACTTCAGAACCAACAACCTTAAGCAACAGGACCGGGCTCTGTACCCACTCTAAGAGCATGTGGATGAGAGGGCATAATTTGCATATTATCGGGCCAAATAATTACCAATACCATCTTGGGGTTCCTTAATATAGTTCTAGTCGAATAGGCCAAAAAAGAACCTATTCTAATTATCAAAGCCCCTATAGCACACATTACATGGCAAAAGTTGCGCCAGCCACTTCAGTGAACCGGATACTCATCTTCTTTCGTCTTGTCGAAACCCTACACCTAAAATGGTCACCTATAGTAACCTTAGACCCCGAATCCCTAGATCGACCGTACCTCTGGGGAGAAGTAGACAAAGAGTCGGCGCCAGCAGGTCGAAAGAAGGGAAAGGACTGGATCTGTTTTCGTGTTGCAGGGAGACGCGATTGCA